ATGACATGCTTTTGTGTGTTTCTCTTGGTCATGGCCTAAGCCTTTAATGACCCTGTAATGATCCAATTCTTACACTTGTAATATTGGGGAGCAGACTAATCACAGGTTTCTGCATAAACTGAACTTGCATTAGGGTGATGGGATTTGAGTGGAGCGTTGGTTAATCATTTAGCTTATTTCATTTCATAAATTGATGTTATTTTGACTCTAACTCTACTCGCTTCCTATTTTACTGGGTTTTGAATAAGGGTCGTTATGGTTCCAACTTGTAAATCTAAATTTGGTTTTGATTATTAGTTTTGAAACTTACATTTTCTTTTAAAACTAAATTAGTTTTCCGCTGCTGATATTGGAAACTAGCCTTAACGTTTGAACACGTGGCGGTAGCACGCCAGTAATTCTCTCACAGGTTATTAAAAGTATTTACAGGTTACTACAGGTTATTACAGGTTAATACAGGTTTTAAAGAGAGAATTATTGGGGTGTTACAAGCTTTGGAATGCAAAAGATACACATAACAGAACCTAGAAAAATCATCTATAAAAGTAATCATGTATCTTTTGTTCCCCCAAAGAAGGAGTACTATGAAAATCACACAAGTCACTATGGATTAGTTCTAAAATATTAGAACTTCTCTCAACTCTCTTAAAAGGAGTTCTAGTGATCTTGTTCTACATGCAAGTAGAACATTTATTAGGAGAAATATCACAAGAAGGTATCAATTCTTGTTTTGACATGAAAAGCATTTTATTGTAATTCACATGTCCTAACCTTGAATGCCATAAATAAAACAAATTCAAATCAACTTGATTAACATTGTCTACAACATTCAAACACATATCATCCATAACACAACTCTCTCTCTCAATGAGAGTTTAAACAAACCATTATCCAAATAACAACGACCTATGAATGTTACACCCCTAATAATAATGCATCTATTAGCTTCAAATACAAGCTTATAGCCAAGACTATTTGGTAGGCGTGTCGCGTACCTATCAAAAATAACCTAACAGACCAATACTAATGTAGACTGGCAAGTAAGGGTCGGATCCCAAGAGACTAAGGTTCAAAAATAATGAAATAGACTCGAATTTTTACTAAGCAAGAATCAATTATAATCAATTATCTACGGAACTAAGTATGAGAAGAATTCGAAAATAAACTAAATAAGATGATTAAATCAAGTACTTAAAACATCCAAGATCTAGTTTCACCACAATTATTATCGATGCAATTGTAATTCTACCCTTAACATACGATTTCAATCGAACGGGGAAAAGTAAACCCTAATAAATACCAAGGATCTCTCTCGAGTATCAATGGCTTCCCTAACATACAATCAATCCTATTCTCATGGTATCATGCATATTAGAGACATTAAACACATTACTCTCACTTCCCAATTATCAAACCCAACTACTCTCGTGTTGAGAATCAAACCCTAAATTGATTTACTCAAATCCGTTTATACCCAACTCTCGCTGTGATAAAAACAATGGAATAATCGCAATACTATAGTTACGTCTAACCTAGCATTGGCATAATCACAATCAATTTAGCAATTCAATTTTTAAAGTTATTAAAGAATTTAAAGATTTAATTCATGCATCAATAATAATAGGGCTACACTAGATCTTGAATTAAAGAATCTACTCACACATGATTAAAGACACAAAAACAATAATAAATAATGAAAACATAATTAAATAACAAAGGATGAAAAATAAATACTGAATCTTGAATAAAAATGAAAGTAGGAAGCTTGAATCTTGAATCTTGAATTACAAAAACTTGGAAAAATAATTGAGAACTAGTTCTTAAGGAGAGAATAATAAAAAAAAATAAAAACAAGGCTTGATGAATCCCTCCCAAAGAAAAACAACGCTAAAGAATATATACAAGCGTAAAAAGATAAGAAAAATCGGCTAAGCTTGGCGCACAAGATTCCCAGGAGGCACGGACGTGCCTCTCCATAGGCACGGACGTGCCTCTATGGCAGAAACTTTGAATTAATTCTTTCGCGATGAGGCACGGACGTGCTTCAATGGGGCACGGACGTGCCTCCTCTGCTGCGCGTATCACTCATCATAAATCAGATATAACTTCATATTCGAAGCTCCGTTTGAGGCATGTAATATATCGTTGGAAAGGTCTTCAAGTCTACTTTCCAATGCAATTTGAATCACTCCATTATCAATTGTATATTGAAAGTTATGAGCATAATAGTGAACAGGTGTCATATTTGTCAAGTATTTCATCAACGTTTTGCTTCATTTTCACTCAATTAGCTCCGTTAATCCTGAAATACATCAAAAACAACTAAACTACCCATAAAAGCATCGAATCATCGAAACTAAACCAAATTACACCAAAATGGACTAAAACACTCGACTAAGCTAATAAAACCAACCAAAAATAAGCTAATAAATACGCACAAAACACGACTTATCAAACTCCCCCAAGACTAATGCTTGTCCTCAAGCATTTAACCATGAATCACAAGGGGGGAGAATGACAACTCCTCAAACAATCACAATGTTCCATCAAGTTCAAAACCACGATAAAAACAAAATCAAGAGTCAACTTGCACAAAAACCACCATTCATCTCATATACTTGGACTTGACAACCAATCTTACCACACATCTCCCCATACCTACTCACACAAACATGAATAGTTCTCACTTTAGTTGTGAAAAATAAAAACAATAACGCTCATGTGTTTTCGGGGTGAAAAATGAAGCCACTCAACCTAAGCATAGCATGCATATCAACTTCACACAACCGGCCTCTTTAGGCTTGCAATGTGACTTTCTCCACTTTTAGTGATTGATGCAAACACAAAAATCATGAAATCCATATTAGGTAAGCTCGGTAAATAAGGGTTAGACGACGTATTTTGGGAATGTGGTGCTCAAAATAAAACAAATCCTAATCCCGCTACACATTCGAAAGTCGGGTTCAATCCAACCTTATTTCCTCCAACTCCATACAATTATAAACATAGCCCTTTATTCTTTCCTTCCTTTTTTTTCCTTTTTTTATTCACACAAAGAGGAAGGGATTAAATAAAAATAAAATGGAAGACTTCTCTATTTTTTCAAGGGCCTTTAAGACCATATTTCTTTTCTTCCTTTTTTTTTCTTTGTTCCTTTTCTTTCTCATAATCTCCCTTATTTTCTCTTTGTTTTCTTTCTTTTTTTTTCTTTTTCTTTTTCTTTTTTTTTCATTTTTTCCATTTTTTCGTTTTTTTTTTTCAACATCATTCACACTCATAGGGCTTAACAAATGTAAAACACCTTCAAAATAAACCTAGAAAAATAGCTCTAAAGCTTTAAATGTAGGGTATCAAGAAGGGGTTAATATGGCTCAAATTGGTTCAACCTACGGGTGAATGTACAATAAAAATAAATAAAAACAAAAAGAAAAAACATGAAGGCCTAAAATGTGGAGGCTCTAATTTCTACAAGGAAATTTCAATCATCTTTTCGCGACATGCATCATAAAGTCTCAAATAGTCAAAAAGCAAGACCAAGAATTCGATTATATGAAGGACAATCTAATCACACAAGAAGAAACATGACTGAGGTAGAGTGAAATCAGTCATATAAGGCTCAAGACACTCACCGGGTACACAAACTATTCACATAAGTAGAGCGGGGAGACCATCCTGGCCACAACCTAGCTTAAATCCAAGCACATCAATGAATGGGTTTTCAAAAACTCTTCTTTTTTTTTCAAAAAGCACACATATGTGATTATAATCATAGAAGCATAGTTATGCAATGGCATATTATTCGAAACTTGAAAGAAATAAACTACCCAAAAATTGAAATAAATCTAATATATACATGGTGAAAAGAAAATCCTCCCCCAAGCTAAACCATACATTGTCCTCAATGTATGCATAAATCAAAGCAAATAAACAAGGGGAAGGGAAAAGCAAACTACTGATCAGGAGGGGTGGGGGGGAAAATCATACCTCGGGACGGTGCTAGGACCGCCCTGAAAGTGTTGTCGCATCACGCCCCCGATGTCATAGAACTCGGCCTGGAAGGTGGCCTGGGACGTCCGTGCCTTATTATTGGGGGAGGCACGAAATTTCACTCCTTGACTCTCTGCCCCATCTGCAGATTTTATTTTTTTTTATTTTTTATTTTTTTTTTAAAAATAAATTTTAACAAAAATACGGAAAACCTGAGGCACGGACGTGCCTCTCTAAAAATTCAACCCCCAAACTTTCTGCCTCAGAGGCACGGATGTGCCTCCTCAGGGGCACGGACATGCCTCTGCAGAAATTAATTTTTCTCCTTTGTCCTTCCTCTTGGCGCTTTTCCTCCTTGTTTCTTCTTCTTTTTGCTTACTTTTCACCTATATAAAAAGACCACAACCAAATAAAAAACTAGACGCAAGAATCAAACAAAAAAAGACAAGAAAAATAATGAAATTAAAGAAGAAAAAAAAATAAAAAATAACGAAATAAGAGTAAGAACTCAAGAATGGGTTGCCTCCCATTTAGCGCTTGTTTAAAAGGTCTTTAGCTCGACCTCCCTTGTTGGCTCAACCGGGATCATTACACGGAGAAGGAGGACCGCGATGTTGTTCATGAATTCCTCCAAGCGACTCCTTCATCGGCTTATTCACTTTCCTTATAACCGAATTCACCTTCGCATAGCCAAACATGCCATCGGGTGGAACTTTGTCCTTCCCTTTCACGAAATTCCTGTCAAACACATACCTATCAAACGGGGGGTTAGTAGCATCGATTCTCAAACAGGTACCACCATCGAACGTAGAGTTATGCCCATCAAGCATGGCTTTTGATAACCGTTGCGAGAAGGGCATCGGTTCATCATTGGTCGGTGGAGCTACATATTTGGAGCCTTGAACATCCTTGCTCCTTACGTCCTTTCTAGGCTCCTTGATGCACACCATCTTAACAATTTGCTTCGGAAATAGTCCATCTCTTCTCAGGAAGATAGCATTGCATTGTTTTTTCTAAACCTTCGCTTGATCTTGAAGAGTCGATAGGCGGTTCACCTGTTGCGAAAGTTGGCTTATCTGATAAATAGTGTCTCCCGTAGAGGGAGCATCCATGACATTCAAAAGTGAGTATTCCAACTTTTCATCACCTACTTCAAAAGTGATCTTACCTTTCTTCATGTCTATGATTGCACCTGCAGTAGCTAGGAAAAGTCTACCAAGTATGATCGGAACATTCACATATTCTTCCATCTCCATCACAACAAAATCACATGGAATGAAAAACTTACCTACTCTGAGGGGTACATCCTCAAGTACACCCAAAGGAAACTTCACTGACCTGTCTGCAAGTTGTAGAGATATTCGTGTGGGTTTAAGCTAACCCAGCTGTAGCTTCTTGCATATGGACAGCGGCATAAGACTCACACTTGCACCTAGATCGCATAGTGCCCTATTGATCTCAATATCTCCAGGCTTCACTGGAATTGAATAGCTACCTGGATCTCCTAATTTCTTAGGGAGAGTGTTCTGTAAAATAGCACTACACTCTGCATTCAAAGCAACAGTAGTATTATCTTCTAATTTTCTCTTGTTAGATAGCATATCTTTTAAAAATTTTACATAAGAAGGCATCTCAGATATGGCATCTAGGAATGGAATATTAATATGAAGCTTTTTAAGAATATCGAGGAACGTACTGAACTTTTTCTCAAGTTTAGCTTGTGCTAACCTTTGAGGAAAAGGAATCTTGGGCACATATGGAGCAAGTGGCTTTGGTGGTGGTTCCTTTGATGCCTCCTCAACCCTAGCATCTTCTACTTCCTTCTCACTTGCCTCTTCTTCATTGACCTCCCTTGATGGCTCCATGGTAGGAGGATCGTCCAACTGCCTTCCACTCCTCAGGGCTACAAAATTCATTTGGGCTCTTTGAGGTTGTTCTGTCTGGCCCGGGAAGGTTCCTGGAGTCTTTAAATCTTGGTTAAATTGGTTGGCCAGTTGGCTTATCTGATTCTCCATAAATTTACTCTGGGCCTGCAACTGTTGGATAGAGCTATTTTGATGTTGGATGGCACTGTTTGTTGCGGTTATGAAGCTCTCTAAGGTCACCTCTAGGCTTGATTTTTAAGGTTGTGGTTGCATAGGTTGTTGGGCATTAGGTGGTTTCTGTTGGAAGCCTGGTGGTGGTTGGTTGTAGGTATTGGGTTGAGGTGGTGGTGGAGGGTTTTGTTGCGCTTGGGAGTTTTTGTAGGAAAAGTTGGGATGGTGTTTCCATCCTTCATTGTAGGTGTTGGAATAAGGGTCATAAGGCCTCTTTGGGTTAGAGGAGTAGAAAGCATTAGCTTGCTCGATTGACATTTCTTCCGCATTCTGCGAAATCTGTGGGCAATCTGGAGCAACATGACCCTGCACATGACATAACTGACACAACTCCTATGGGGTGTTAGAAGTTCCTGCTTGGAACTTATCAAACCTTCTTGTTAGTGCCTGCACAGAACTAGTCAGCATAGTTAAAGCATCAACATCAAGTTTACCTCCCTTTTTCACAGTGTTTCGGCCTCTAGGATGATAGTTATCATTGGCCGCCATCTTCTCTATGAGCTCCCTAGCTTCAGTGGGGTTCTTTGTCAAGAGAGAACCTCCTGACGCAGCATCTATGTAAATACGGAACTCATGAGTCATGCCATTGTAAAAGGTCTGCATCAAAATCCAATCTGGAATGCCATGGTGAGGGCATTGTTTCTACAATCTTTTAAATCTCCTCCAAGCCTCATAGAGAGACTCATCATCTGACTGCCTAAAAGTTTGTAGCTCATTCCTCAATCTTGCAGTCTTCTCATTCCCTAAAAACTTCACAAGGAAGGCTTTCACTAACTTGTCCCATGTATCGAACGAGCCAGTGCATTCATCTCTTAACCACTCCTTTGCCCTGTCTCGAAGTGAGAAGGGGAAAAGGCGTAGTCTGATTGCATCATCTGTAACACCGTTCAACTTCATAGTATCACATTTCTCCAAAAAGCTATCTATATGGCTTACAGGGCAATCATGTAGTAGCCCTGCGAATGAATCATTAGAGATGAACTGTATGAATTGTGGCTTGAGCTCGAAGTGCTGAGCCGTGACAGGTGGTCTTATGATGCTTGAAAGGACTCCGGTAGTCGTATCAGGAATACCGTACTCCAAGAGGGATTTTGTTGGTTGGTCTACCATGTTTCTCCTGCGTTTGTTCCTTGTTCTCCTTCTTCTTATAGTTGCCTCGATCTCAAAATCAAATGGTTCAAGATCTTCTGAACCTGAGCTACGTGTGGGCATGCACAAGAAAAAACTAGAGAAAAGTATCAAAAACACAAGGGAAAATAGCCGAAGCAATGAAATAAACTTAGTAAAGATAAATCAAAAATAATTCTAATGAAACCGTTAGTCCCCGGCAACGGCGCCAAAATTTGGTAGGCGTGTCGCGTACCTATCAAAAATAACCTAACATAGACTGGTAAGTAAGGGTCGGATCCCAAGAGACTAAGGTTCAAAAATAATTAAATAGACTTGAATTTTTACTAAGCAAGAATCAATTAATCAATTATCTACGGAACTAAGTATGAGAAGAATTCGAAAATAAACTAAATAAGGTGATTAAATCAAGTACTTATAACATCCAAGATCTAGTTTCACCACAATTATTATCGATGCAATTATAATTCTACCCTTAACATACGATTTCAATCGAACGGGGAAAAGTAAACCCTAATAAATACCAAGGATCTCTCTCGAGTATCAATGGCTTCCCTAACATACAATCAATCCTATTCTCATGGTATCATGCATATTAGAGACATTAAACACATTACTCTCACTTCCCAATTATCAAACCCAACTACACTCGTGTTGAGAATCAAACCCTAAATTGATTTACTCAAATCCGTTTATACCCAAATCTCGCTGTGATAAAAACAATGGAATAATCGCAATACTATAGTTACGTCTAACCTAGCATTGGCATAATCACAATCAATTTAGCAATTCAATTTTTAAAGTTATTAAAGAATTTAAAGATTTAATTCATGCATCAATAATAATAGGGCTACACTAGATCTTGAATTAAAGAATCTACTCACACATGATTAAAGAAACAAAAACAATAATAAATAATGAAAACATAATTAAATAACAAAGGATGAAAATTAAATACCAAATCTTGAATAAATTTGAAAGTAGAAAGCTTGAATCTTGAATCTTGAATTACAAAAACTTGGAAAAATAATTGAGAACTAGTTCTTAAGGAGAGAATAATAAAAAAAAATAAAAACAAGGCTTGATGAATCCCTCCCATTGAAAAACAACGCTAAAGAATATATACAAGCGTAAAAAGATAAGAAAAATCGGCTAAGCTTGGCGCACAAGATTCCCAGGAGGCACGGATGTGCCTCTCCATAGGCACGGACGTGCCTCTATGGCAGAAACTTTGGATTAATTCTTTCGCGATGAGGCACGGACGTGCTTCAATGGGGCATGGACGTGCTTCAATGGGGCACGGACGTGCCTCCTCTGCTGCGCGTATCACTCATCATAAATCAGACATAACTTCATATTCGAAGCTCTGTTTGAGGTATGTAATATATCGTTGGAAAGGTCTTCAAGTCTACTTTCTAATGCAATTTGAATCACTCCATTATCATTTGTATATTAAAATTTATGAGCATAATAGTGAACAGGTTTCATATTTGTCAAGTATTTCATCAACGTTTTGCTTCATTTTAACTCAATTAGCTTCGTTAATCCTGAAATACATCAAAAACAACGAAACTACCCATAAAAGCATCGAATCATTGGAACTAAACCAAATACACCAAAATGGACTAAAACACTCGACTAAGCTAATAAAAGCAAGCAAAAATAAGCTAATAAATACGCACAAAACACGACTTATCACTATTCTGGGTAGGCCCAGATACAAGATTTCTACTAATTTTTGGAGCATACAAAACATTCCTAAGAATAATTGCAGTCCCCGAACTAAAAACAAGCCACTACAAGAAAAAGGGTAGATACCGACGGACATCTTTCGACGGACACAAAATTCCGTCGGAAATCCTATATATTCTGGCGGATTTATATTCCGTCGGAAATTTCCGACGGAATTCCTACGGAACAAAAATCCGTCGGAATATTTGGGCACTCCGACGGAATATTCCGTCGGAAATTTAAGTTTTCGACGGAAAAAAAATCCGTCGTAAACTTCCTAAGGATTATTCCGTCGATACATTAAATTTTCAGCGGAAATAAAATCCCTCGGAAATTTCCGACGGAATATTCCGCAAGAAAAGTTATTATCCGATGGAATATTCCGTCGGAAAATATAATTAAATAATAAAAAAATACTAACCCTAAAAAAACCCGGATCCCCCCCTTTTATTTCTCATTTCTCTCTCCTCTCCTCCTCTCCGCCTCTCTTCTCCTTCTCTCTCCTCTCTTCTTCTCTTTCTCTCTCCTTTCTCCTTCTCCTCTCATTCTCCTTCTTCGATCTCCTCCTTTTTCGATCTCCTCCTTTTCTCCTCTTGTATGATAAGCCTCCTTCTCTCCTCTTCTTCTCTTCAACGGCGACAACAACAACAACCACACCATGGCCACCGCGCAGCGACAACAACAACAACCACACCATGGTCACCGCACAACGAAAACAACAACACCAGCCCAATACCGCAGCAACGACAACAACACCGCAGCAACGACAATTAAAACAACTGTAGATCTAATTTAATTTGTTTTTTTTAAAAAAAAAAAACAATTCTGATTGTAATTAAATTTTTGATATAATTGTAATGTTATTTTATTAATTTCAGAAGATAATTGTATATTTATTTATTTTGTTTGATTTCAATTTTTTTTTGTTTATTTTTTCGAGTTTTGGTTGTTTCGATTTTTGGTTGTTTTGATTTTTGGTAAGGGAATTGGGGCTGGATCTAGGTTGATTTGGCGTTTTCCGATTTGTTTTTTTTTTCGTATTTTCTTGGTGGGTTAGGTTGTTGGTTAGGGTGGGTGGGGTACGTTTTGGTTATGGTGGGTGGGGGAAGTTTGGTCGGGTCTGGGTTGGGGGGTGGGGGGTCTGGTTTGGGTTGGGGCTGGTGGTGGTGGTGCTGTGTGGTGTGTGTGAGGTGGGCTGGTGTTAGGGTGGCGTGGTTAGGGTGGGTTGGGTGGGGGGTGGGCTGGTGGTGTGTGTGGGGTGTGCTGGTGTTAGGGTGGCGTGGTTAGGGTGGGTTGGGTGGGGTAGTCAGGTGGTAGGGGGCAGGGGGTGGGCTGGTGGTGGTGTGGGTGGGTAGGGGGTAGTCAGGGGGTAGGGGCAAGGGGTGGGCTGGTGGTGTGTGGGGATGTAGGCTAGTGGCGCTGGGTGGGGGTGGTCTGGGCAGTTGGGGTGGGGTGGGGGTGGTCTGTGTTTTTTTTTTTTTTTTTATTGACTTTTCCGACAGAATTTTCCGTCAGAATATATTTTTTCCGACGGAATTTTCCGTCGGAATGTACCTCTTCCAACGGAAAATTCCGTCTAAAACCTACCCACCTCCGACAGAAATTTCTGTCGGAAATTTACGACAGAATTTCAAATAAAGTCAAAAACAGCGCCGACAAAATTAGATCCGTCGGAAGACCGCCTTCCGACGGAATTTCCGCCGAAAAAGGTCGAATTTCCGATAAAGGTTGTTCCGACAGACTAACTCCGACGGAATTCCGTCGGAAAGCCAGATTCCGACTGGATTTCCTATGTTTCCGACAGAATTTTTCCGTCGGAATCTACCCTTTTTCTTGTAGTGAGTTCAACTTGTCCTCTTCCAAGAACCTTGATGGTAGAGTTGTTCCCCATGTAGAGGTCTTCTCCATCAACAACCTTTTGAAAGGTTTTGAACCAATGTTTATTCTTGCACACATGCCTTGAAGCCCCCGAATCAATCCACCATGAGTCATCATCCTGCACCATAAAAATGTTAGGATCCGTTGCATTTAAATCCAAACCGGAATTAAATTTAACCTCA